AGCCGAATTCACATTAACGTTATTATCTAAATCGTTACTCAAACTGTCGTTATTATCCGCATTGTGACCGTTACCATTCCTGTTGTTCTTCAGTACATTAATTCTTTTATTTACATACTTATTAATAATATGATCCGGAAAACAATTATTAATTAAAATGTTCTTTACAATCTCAATATTCGTATTATGAAATTGTTCGTTAGAAAGTAAAATTGCATGGTCTACTAAATTGTAAATCGTATTAATTTTGTACTTAATAGGATGACTCGAAAGAAAATTGATGTATCTGCCAGAACATGTAGGTTTCCTAAACCAATTAGTTGTCAATTTATTCCCATTGCGGATAACTGTAGAATTTAAAAAATTAATAGAAGAATTGGTCTCTATTTCATGTGTGAATTTTAAACGTTCATGATAATTATTAAATGTACTTAAAATTTCATTTATTTTAGAGTTAGGTAAAATAACAAAAATGTCGTCCACATATCTAAGTCTGAACTTTAAAACTTAAAGAATTTAAACAATTTGTTTCCAAGTCATCCATTACTAAGTCAGCTAGTATCGGTGATAGAGGAGATCCCATAGGGCTTCCATAAATTTGTTCATAATACTGCTCGTTAAATTGAAAACTCGTTGAAGTAAGAATTACGTCAACAGCGTATAGGAACTGATAAAATATATTGTTAAAAAATATTGTGTAACATTATGTTGTAGAAATTTCACTTGAAAAGGACCACAACCAAATGGTCGAAACGTCGTGAAATAATCAAATAAAATTGCTAGTTACGTCGTAGTCAAGTCGTTTAAGCTTATTTTCACCACTAGCGACAAATATTAATTTTGATTGATATTAATTTTAATTGATCGTATTAATAAAAAGTATTCCAAAAGCGAGTAGCCATACAGAAAACAGCTTTAAATTGGTAGAAAAATTTTCTACATTACAATTAGAAAATAACTCGAGTTTGATTTTATTGGATGTTGTGTCACTCTTTACTAATATACCGATAGACTTAGTATTGGAAGGTTTATCTGAGAGATGGCATTTCATCTCTGACAATTGCAGTCTTAATAAATCAGAGTTTCTAAATGGCATTAGTTTAATATTAAACTCTACATTTTTTACTTTTAATAACACCATATACAAACAAACCTATGGAACTCCGATGGGCTTCCCTCTTTCTCCCATAGTCGCTGATATAGTATTACAAGATTTGGAATCTAAAGCTCTGAACCTACTTAACTATAAACCGGTTTTTTTCCACAGATATGTCGACGACCTTATTTTGTCAGTACCTAATAAATATATTGAACATACGTTAAACACTTTCAATTCGCTACACCCGCGTATTCAATTCACAATGGAAAAAGAAAAAAACCATAGTTTGAGTTTTTTGGACATCAAGTTAATATCAAAAGACAATAAAATTACATGTGATTGGTTTAGAAAGCCGACGTTTTCTGGAAGATACTTGAATTTTCTTTCACAACACCCTATATGTCAAAAAGAGGAACGATCATCGGTCTGATTGATAGGGTAATTTTATTATCTCATCCTTCATTTCACCAGGATAATATAGAATTGATTATTAACATCTTAATAAATAATAATTACCCGATAAAATTCATTTTTGACACTATTAACGATAGACTCAAAACTCTTTTTTATACTAGAAGTAATGTTAACAACAACAGTCAAAATCAGTCGAAGGATTCTCATTTGTTTTTTACTGTGCCTTACTTACCAAAGGCTACTGAACAATTGATAGGTATTACAAAAAAAGTCGATACTAGACTCTCCTACATGAGCATGAATAAATTAGGTAAATTTATTAAAACACACAAAGACAAAATACCTAAAGGAGCGAATACGAATGTAGTTTATAAAATTAACTGTAAAAACTGTGATGCCTCATATGTGGGTCAAACCAGCAGAAAACTGAATACTAGGATAACTGAACATAAAAAACATATTAACAGAAAGTGTTCCAATAAATCAGTTGTTACTGATCATAGATTAGAGTTCTCTCATGAATTTGATTGGGATGAGGTAATAATTTTAGATAAAAAACCATTTTACAATAAAAGACTTATATCAGAAATGTTATATATAAAAAGACAAACTAATGGATTGAATCTACAAAACGACACTGAATTTTTGCCTGATATATACAATAATATTATAGATTCTTTGCCAAAATTGCCAGGGTTTGCAAACAGACCTTGATATGTATAATAAAGGTGAAACACCGAGTTACTGCCTCATTTGTGATTGGGAGTTGAGACGGTAAAGACGTTCTGTCTTTAGTAAACTTTTGTTTTTGGAAAAAAACTGTGTCTATGAGATCTCGCGTCTGATACTTGTAACTTCTATTAAATAATCGCCAATTTTATTTGAGTGAGTGTACGGTGCATGTTATTTTTCAAAAGTATAGTGAATAATTGAATATTATCTATTTAGATCTCCATTTAATGTCTAACAACATTTCAATATGACGATTTAATCAAGATATCTCCCTTGACCAATAAATCAGGAGGCCTATACACAGTGATTACATGGCACTGTCGCTCGATCTCAGTATGTATCAAAAATTTGCACTTGTCACACGCGATGACTTATTTAGAAACATATGTAATGAGACAAAAAACTGACTTTTTATTATCTTGACATCGTTGATTGCCGTCTTTAATGTTCAATATTACACTTCAATTTATATAATATTTGTATTGCGCTGAGGAAGGCTCGAAATGTCAGCCGAAACGTTCGCTCTAATGTGTATTTCTTATGTATATATTATTTCGTTAAAATGCGAATAAATGATTACTTCTTATTTATTTCTTGCTACGTTCAAATGAAGTTTTGTTATATTTTTTAATATTAATTGACAACTTGTTATGTTTAATAGCTCTTATAGCCCTTCTTTGATTACAATTATTAATTTAACAGAGCTAATTACTAATTTTATTAAATATAAAAAGATATATGAAATAAAAATTATGTAAAACTATCTTCTTCTTCTTCGTATGCCTATCCACTAATGAATGTTTGCGACCACTTTCTGCATCCTCTCTGCGTCTCTCGCCACATGGATCAACTCCTCCACCGTGCGCAGTCCTGTCCACTGTCTAATATTTCGAAGCCAAGACAGTTTTTTGCGTCCTAATCCTCTTTTCCCTTCGATCTTTCCCTGTATAATTCTTTGTAGCAGCTCATACTTTGTATTACGCATAATTTGGCCCAAGTATGCCGTTTTCCTCCTTTTTATTGTAGTCAATATTTCCCGATCCTTGCCCAATCGTTTCAAGACATCTCCATTGGTGGTTCTCGCCGTCCACGGTATCTTTAGGACTCTGCGGTAGACCCACATTTCGAAGGCCTCTAGTCTATTCATTTCAGAAACTTTCAGTGTCCATCCCTCCATTCCATATAGAAGCACCGGCCATATGTAGCACCTAATGAATCTCATTCTCAGATTTTGATTGAAGTCCGTATTGGTAAAGACTTTTTTAAATTTCATGAATGCCTTGCGAGCCATTTCTATTCGGCATTTTACTTCCATCTCCGACGTCCAATCCTCGCACATCCACGTTCCCAAATACTTAAATCTATTTACTCGTTCTATCGGTCTGCCTTCTAGTTTTAAGCTAGCGTTTCTGAACTTGTCCGGTTCTCTGGTGATAACCATGAATTTTGTTTTCTTAATGTTGATGTTCAATCCCATGTCTTTACTGTGCTGTCCTACTATGTCAAGAAGTTGTTCTAGATCGTCCATGTTGTCTGTAATTACCATTGTGTCGTCTGCGTATCAAATATTGTTTAGTCATTCTCCATTTACTTTTATGCCCTTCTCAATATCCTCGAGTGCCTCTCGGAAAATAACCTCAGAGTATAGGTTAAACAGAAGGGGTGAGAGAACACATCCTTGTCGGACACCTCTGCAGATTTCAACCGCGTTGGTTTCTTCTCCGTCAATCCTGATTCGTGCCTTTTGATTCCAATATAAGCTTTCAATACATTAAATGTCCTTTGTATTTATATCTGTTTTTCTGAGAACCTCCATAAGTCTATGATGTTGAACTCTGTCGAACGCTTTCTCATAATCTATAAAGCACAGGCATACATCCTTCCTCTGGTCATAACAATTTTGCATCAGGGCGTGTGTTGCTACTATTGATTCCCTCGTGCCTAACCCTTGTCTGAACCCAAATTGTGAGTCGCTGAGGTTTCCCTCGCACTTTTTAAAAATTCTTTGATGTAAGATTTTCAAGAATAATTAATTATAGGGTATGGCTCATAAGACTTATTAGCCTGTGGTCTGTGCATTTTTTCGCTTTGTTTTTCTTTTGTAACGGAACAAAAGTTGAGGAAAGCCACTGTTCAGGATATATTCCTGTGTCGTATATTTTGTTAAAAATTTTCAGGAGAAGTGCTAATCCCTTCTCATTCAGTAACTTTAGTAGTTCCGATGGCACTTCGTCTGGGCCTGCTGCTTTGTTAGTTTTTGCGGTGTTTATTGCTTTTTTAATTTCTTCCATTATGATCGGTGGACCCGTGAGGTTGTCACTGTCTGCTTCCATTTGTCTGTCTGGTCTCTCGTCTGCAAAGAGGCTTCCTACATATTTTTCCCATATTTTCTTTTTTTCTTGTATGTCGTTGGCTAAGTTGTTATTTTCATCGACTATTGCAGAAAAAGTCCTTTTACGGTATATTCCGGCTATTTCCTTTAGTTTTTTATGTAGATTGAAATCATCGTGCAGGGTTTGTAACTTTTCCATTTCCTCGCATTCCTGCTTTAACCACATGTTCTTTGCTGTCCTAATCTTGGCTCTTATTTCCCTCTGCATTTCATTATATTTGTGTGGGTCTGCTTGATTCTTATATGTCCGTCGTTCGTCCATGAGCGAGAGGATCTCGTCCGTCATCCAGTTCTGCCTTCGGTTCTTCTCTCGATATCCCAAATGGCTTTTTGCGGTGTTTATCATGTCATTTTTAACTCTTCTCATATTTTGGTTGGATTGTGCTCATTTCTTCTCGAGCTTAACATCTCCTCTATGTTGTTATTTATCTCATGGCGCATTGCAGCTTTTATGTCTCCTTGTTTGAGCCTTTTGTAGGCAATTCCTCGCTTTGAGACTGGTTTTACATACTTTGTTAGTTTGATTTTGATAGTTGCCCGTAGTAGTATGTGGTCAGAGGGCACGTCCGCTCCAGGATAAGTGCTTACTCTGTTAATTGAGGATCCAAAACGTTTATTGATAAGTATGAAATCTATCTGGTTGCGACTTATGTTCTCCGGACTGTCTCTAGGAGATCTCCACGTATATAATCTCCTGGGTGGTAATTGATACCATGTGTTAGTAACTCTCATATCTTCTTCTTGGCAGAATTGCACCAGGCGTTCGCCCCTCTCATTTCTTATTCCCAATCCGAATGGTCCCACCAGATCCTCATATCTCTCTTTTCCTATCCTAGAGTTGAAATCGCCCATAATTATATTCATATCATGTTTCTTGGTGAGCTTCAACATTTCCTTTATTTGCTCGTAGAATATTTCCATCTCCTCATCCGGTGCATCAGCAGTTGGCGCATATATCTGGATAATGTTTAAATTGGTTGGCCTGGCATTAATCTTTATCAGCGCTATTCTATCTGAGTATGGTATGAAGTCGATGATGCAATTCTTAAAACGATCTGACACAATAATTCCAACTCCTTTTCGATGATTCTTGTCTTGATTGCCTGAATAATAGAACGCGCCTCCTCCAGTACTACACACTTCTGCATCTGGCCACCAAGTCTCCGCTACTCCCATTATGTCGATGTCCAGTCTCTTCATTTCCTGGATTAGATTGGCTAGTTTTCCTGCTTCGAATAGACTTTGCACGTTCCATGTGCCTATATTGATCTTCTTACGTATATCTGCCGACTTGACCTCGCTCAAATCTGTTCCCCCCGGAGATCCGATTGGGGAACTATTTAAACCTCCGGAATATTTCGAGTTGAACGCAGTCATGTGATTCTCTTGGGATGGGGGTAATGGAAGTGGTTTCCCGTCGCTTTCCTCCATGGTTTTTCTGTCGGGGTTTTCCTTCCCTTAGCTGGATTGCTCTCGTTTTTAGGCGCCAGAGTTCCGCCTTTCGCTCATCTCTATTTGCTATGACTAAAGTCACATTGCCCGGGATGCGCGACTAGGACGCTAGAGGATTGGACTTGTTGGTTGATTGAGCTGCTGTTCGTATGCAGCTCGGCTCTTCACAGTTTTTTATAGATGCACGTCCTTCAGCAGGACGTGCCTCACTGTGGCCACACCAACCATTCGCACCCCTAATGTAAAACTATATAAAACGATATATATATAAATATATAAAAATAAATATAAAAAAAAGTCGGAGGCGAGAGAGGTACGGCGGCTCGGGATTCAACGGTGCGGATAGAGAGCCGGCGAGAGAGAGCCAGCGGGCCGTATCCATGCGGCGACTGCGAGAGAGGGGGTCGCGTTAACCATCGCTGTCAGACTGTGCCTCGGCACCTGCACATAGAAATATAATAAATTATTGTACTATTTTTATATTTTGACATATGTATATATACTCACAGCCTTGACATATTGGGCACAAGTTGGCCAGGAAAAGTGTGAATACTCTTTCCTGGCAATCAATGCAGTGAAGATGCGGTACATCTCTGTACCGCATCGTCACGTGCCTCTGGATGAGTGTGATTGTCGCGAATCTTTCCCTGTTTCTCATAAAACAGGGAATGCAGATTCTTACTGACCCCCATGGCGAGACATATGCCATTATAATGTATACCCACGTGTCTACGTCGAGGGTTGCGATGGCCCGTACGTCTAACGTACGTGAGTGGTATACCTCGCGAACACCATTTCCACTGTCGTACCCATCGTCGTGCAGTGGTTGGAAATCTTCTAATTCATCGCCACCATTGTCTTCTTCAACGATGGGTACATCAATATCCATCTCTTCAATATCATTGAAGATGATATTGACCTCCCTGTCATATTCGGGGTCGTACATCTCGTCGTCGCTGTCGCTGTCGCTGTCGTCGGACATCGTGACGACCTCCATCTCGTCATCAGAGATTGTGATGATCTCCATCTTGTTATCAGAGATCGTGATGACCTTCATCTCGTCATCAGAGATCGTGATGACCTCCATCTCGTCATCAGAGATCACCACCAAGTCTCGCTCGCCATTCTCCATTTTGTACAATTCATTCACTATGCTCACTAATATGCTCGCGAATGTCACCGTACTATGACCCGGCAGCGGCATCGGTCCTCATTATATATCCCGATTATCCCTTTGTTCTTCAACGCGCAATTGCAATTATCTCCGAAAGATGATCTTCGCCGAAACAAAAAATAGCGGCTGCTCAGTAGTTGACTATCGTCATGTTTACACCTTCCGCGAAGACATGTCTCTTACATCTTCCGCGAAGACATATACATATCTACTTTTTGCATATGTTGTACACCTATTTAATCAAGCAAATAAATAGGTTGCGACAAGTAATCTGACGATGATGACAATGACAATGACGGTGATGGTCTCGGTTTCCTCTCATATCTGACTTCTCTATTTCTTGATCCGAATCTGTATCATATTCAGATAATTGCGATTTACATGACGTCGATGGTGAAAGCATATCCATGCTACCAAAATAAAGGTTTTCTACAGTAAAATAATTGGCACAATTTTTGTAGCGACACTGAAAACATGCGACTCGCTTGTGTCGTTTAGACGATTTGGTGCATTTAGATAAATTACCAGTCACTCTTAAAATGTCTTTGTAAATTTCCAGAAAATCGGCAACATCTCTTGTATGCGGTTTTTGCACACCAAGTTCGCGATTTCTTAACAATTGTACAACCGAAGTCACCGGAATGTTCTTCTTTTCACGTTTAAAACAAAACGGGTTATCTTTTTTTTCACCATGATCACATTCCTGGAGATGCTTATACTATATCTCGATATTCTCATAATACCTGAATGATTTTACTGCATTCTCCATTTTTATTGTCTGTCACTTTTCACACTTATTACACTTGTAACCTCAGCCTATTTTCGCTGACATTCGCTGCAATCCCTGATCATCGACGCTGGACTGTCAATATGCGTTCGCATCCACGGTCGATTGTAATGTTCGAGGCAGCGACGATATGTCTGAACCTTCTTTTATTATATATCTTGATCAACTCTCAACGATTGTTAATTTGCAAGAAATATTTGCGATATCTACCCGCTGATAGAAATACATAGATACCCCGTCCGTCACAACCTGCGAAGACATGTCGCAACGCGTTCGCCCCCACTGATATTTTTTAGAAATATACGTATAGATTACGTATCAACCCGCTTGATTGTCAGCGCTCAGATTCAAGCATGGATTTAGTGGCAGTCCTTTTGTTCTTAATAATTCGCAGAATTTTTACCTTATCTTATCTTGGAATTTCAGAGAAAATTTAGATATCGCTGTAATAGATATCTTATCTTGTAATAGATATCTGAATGTCGGCGCTCACCAAGCAGCAGCCATTAATAATTCGTAGAATTTGATTAACCAGAATTTTTTACCTTATCTTATCTTGGATTTTCAGAGAAAATTTAAATATCTTACAAGCTTATCTTGTAATAAATAAACTTATCTTGGATTTTCTACGAAAATTTAGATATCGCACAAAGATGCCGTTTATCTTGTAATAAATAAACTTATCTTGTAATAGATATCGTACAAGCTTATCTTATCTTGCATTTTCAGAGAAAATTTAGATATCGCACAAAGACGCCGCTTATCTTATCTTGTAATAGATATTGCACAAACTTATCTTATCTTGTAATAGATATCGCTGGAATGTTTATCTTTTGTTTATAAACATATCAGGTAACCTGAGCCCCTTATCAGGTAACTTGAGCTGATAAGATAAGCTTATCTGCTGATAAGACTCCCTCCCCCGCGTGACGTCACTCCCCTTACCCCCGATTCCCCCCCCCCCCTCATTGCCCCTGGGTTAGAACCCGTGTTGTATACCTACTAAGAACTAATTGAAAACAGAAAAGAAAAAATTAATTTACAATCAAAAACGAAAAAAATAAACTATAATAATAATTTAATAGAAAAACAGTGTAAATTAATCCGAACGTGTGAAAGATTGACAGTAAGTAACGGAAAACCAGTAAAAATCAATTACGAGTCAGGGGAAATCACCAAACTAGCAGACAACAAAAAATCACCAGAGTTGTCAAATCACGCGAAGAGTGCACATAGAAGGCGCGCGACGCGGGGATTCCCACTGTTCGGCAATCTTAAAGATGACGTAACCACGGCAGGAACTGACACGTCATACTGTCAGTACACCTGGGCCAAGCAACACGTGTTACGCGACAACGTAAAAATGGATAAACGATTAAAAGAAGTGAACGATCGCAAACAGCAATTAGTCGCGAGAGTGAAACGTCTTTTCGAAGAGAGGCAAAATACATTTGAAAAGATTTCGAGAAAAGAAAAACGGATCCAAAAACTCGGAGAGATGTGATCTCGAAAACACGCCCATTATAAACAGCGAAAGTGACGGTGAGGAACAGTTTATCAAGCTGCAGCAACAAGCCACAAAAATTACAACGGCAATTAAACCTTATGTCGACAAACTTACTTTATTCGACTATAAGGATGGCACGGAAATAACAGTGACATCATCCGTGACAGTGGTTAGCAACAAGCCAAAGAGATAACAAAACAAAAACCCATGTTTATAACACAGAGTTTCGTCGGCAAAGAGACGTTAAAACAGATCACCGCCGATTGGGCCAACAAGCTTGTTACATATGCAATGGAAGGACCAGATGCGGGAAAACAATTCATCGTCTTCGACAGTGCGGAAATTGTTAGACAAAGAGCGGCAGCAGCGACGCAACAGAAACAACAAGCGTCATCCACTCCGAACGAAGATCATCAAACACCATCCACATCGAACAGGAATAAAACCCCGTTCACACAAGATCCGTCCACATCGATCGAACAGCATTAAGCAGCATTCACAACGAATGAACATAAAGCTCAATACACACCAATAGACCAAAATGCAGTGCCATCAACATTGTATGCAAGCCCAAGAAACCGGTCGACAAGAATTAAACAACGCTACAAGGTCATCTCAGAAGATAGTGAGAGAGATGAGAATATAGCACCAAACCACCAAAAAACACCTAAGGTGCAAAAATCCTCTAAGAAACAACCAAAATTGAGCGGTATCAAATTGAAAAACGTCTCAAAGGTTTCAAAGGAGCTGAAAGAACTCTTACAAGATTCTGGATCGATTAAGATGATGCCAAAACAAGATCAACGTAAGAAACGTAAAGTTTCATATATTGAGAAATCGTCGTCGAATTCTTCGGACGACGAGACATTATGTTTTAAAAGTCTGAGTCGGCGCAAACACAAAAGCCGAACAAAAGTCATCAAAAATCAAGAAGAACAAGAAATACAGCAACAAACAACAAAGGACACTGAACTGGACTTAAGGAGGTTAATATCTTCGAACGCTAAACCCTCCGAAAATACTAAAGGGGGTATGCGACCGACTGCAGGTCGCAGTCCAGCCCAGCTCACCTCGTTAGCAGAACCAACAGCCATCAGAAGGATGTTCAGCGAAACAGCAACTTCCAGGGAAATTCCGGAGATGATTGCAGCAGAGCAGCAGCAGCCATAAGGGAATCCTGAAACACAATGTAAATATTTGTAAATAGATGTAAATACTTATCCTAGGTTAGTTTTTCAGCCGCGAAATATTAAGTTGCGACATGCAAATTACGCGAGTCAAGGTTTTAATAATGCGCAACCGATTGATCTCAATTTGCATGTATCTTGATCAGTTACATGCAAATTGAGAAAGAGATACCGTCGAAGTAATGTTTTAATAAAGTCGAGACTACTTAGCGCGACGCGCGACAAGTAAATTCGTAACTTCGATTATTGAACAACAATAACGTTCAAGTTACAAATATCTTAACACACCAACTGTAAATTGGGTGAAAAATTTCAGATTTTATT